GTAAAGGGATGTACAATCCTGAAATCAAATGACAGAGGAAACGTAAAGGGATGTACCATCCTGAAATCAAATGACAGGGGAATGTAAAGGGATGTACAATCCTGAAATCAAATGACAGAGGAAACGTAAAGGGATGTACAATCCTGAAATCAAATGTCAGGGAAATGTAAAGGGATGTACAATCCTGAAATCAAATGACAGAGGAAACGTAAAGGGATGTACCATCCTGAAATCAAATGACAGGGGAATGTAAAGGGATGTACAATCCTGAAATCAAATGACAGAGGAAACGTAAAGGGATGTACAATCCTGAAATCAAATGTCAGGGAAATGTAAAGGGATGTACCATCCTGAAATCAAATGACAGAGGAAACGTAAAGGGATTGTTGGCTTGTACAATACGTGTTTATTTGTTGTAACTATATATGAATTAGAATCTTGCCTTCTAAGTTGAATGCCCACGATATCGACAGCGTTTTTAGGTTTGGGAAACACGGAACAGCTCGATCTTAATAGACTTTTTGACATGAATATCTTAATGAAAATAATATGGTACAAAATTGTAACACACAGGTTTCAGATTTATTGTAGACAAATATATCAACTAAAATAAAACCTTTCCTTGAGATTTTCAGAACGTCATGTTGACCAATTTCAGATAAATAAATACACATTTTCGAAAATCAAGGGTTTCGGACTCGGTATCACATATCCATTCGGCATCATTTGATTTTCTTGTGGAAGAATCAGAGGCTGACGATTAATTATTTCAATGGTTCCAAACTATCAAACTATTGCAAGGCAACTATTTGTTTAAAACTAAGGGGAACACTTGTAAACGAAAGTGCTGTGACTAACCTTGTTACAGAATCCCTATTTTGTGCATATATGATATATGCATTTTTTACTTCAATTTCGTCGTAAAAGCAGGTTGTGCGTCATGTTACAGTTTGATTAATTTTGAAGTGCACATCTACTTATAAGCACTTCAACAACTTAGACCATTAACATACGTACGTCTATTTGTAAGCAATGTTTTCCACAACTTCGCCCAGTAACACAGCGCACACCTTCTTATAAGCACTATAGTGAACAACTTAACACTGTAACAAAGTGTAAATTTACTTCCAAGATTCAAACAATTTAGCACAGTAACAAATAACCATCTGTAAACAGATATTTCAACTAATATTTTTTTACCGATTTTTACCAAGAGTCTCACCTAATAGTACATTGAATAATTAAGTCCAATTAACATGCTTTAATTTCTAGCATTGTTTTGGCAGATTCATTCTAATCGTAAGACTGATGCCGACCACGTTTATGAGTTTTTGACAGACATCGTCCCGATGTGAGATGAGACAGCTACAGGTATATAGACATGTCGTACATCACAGTGTCACTGAGCGTTCACACCTGCCCATGACAGAGTAACAACACCAGTTGTCGGCTAGTCTAATACAATATGACTGTGTTTAGGAAGGTAAGTATACAGTCTAGATCTATCATCTTCAAAGCCTTAATTCTATATTAGGACATTATCATCATCAGCAACAACTATTGATAATATATCACTGAAACAGTTCTGACGGCCATTTGGATATCCTTCAAAAGTCTGAAAAGTCATTGGCGATAAAACTGACGATAAAATTAGCGAAAGTACGGTATGCTATCGATCATACTGGTCTAAAAGAAGAAAATCATAGAAGAATGAGGACAAGCTTCATCAGCATAGACAGTCCGTCAAAGGAAAATGAATTATATGCTGCCAATCTTTCGAAGCTCTAGAGGGCTGTCCTCAGGCAAAACTTAGACAGTTAGCGTAATGTCATAGCACTGATTCAATAAAGTGTTTCCACTACTTCTGTTAAGAGGCGTGAAAAATGAGAGGAAAGCTGTCCTTGAAGAATGCAAAATGTTGTCATAAAACTTTCACCTTAGGACGGCCTAGAGGTGAACAAAACTTATGTGAGGTCGGTATGCCATTTGACCTTGAATCTAACCCTGCCTGCCCGATGGTATTTGTGTCCGCCCACATGTATGACCCTATATATAAAAATAAACAAATGGGGGTCACCTGTGATGGATGGACACACCATAAGTCTTACACCGTAGAGATCGACCACGTGATAAACGATTTGACATTTCTGGCGTTTTGGATAATTTTCATATTTGGTGCGAAAATCGATTTGGTTTTGACTTGGATTTTGAAAACATCGCTACAATCCACGACAGTAGTATGATTTTTATATATTGATTGAAGCGATGTATCATGGAAAGTATCAAAATTAAGTTATTTTATTCATTTCCTAATAAAAATGCAAATTTCTGTCCAGTTGGTTACTTTTGAAAATATCACAAGGATTATAGTTTAGAAAAGCTGCATTTGAACGAAAACAGACGCTTCAATGTACAATATTCTTCAGCTAAATACTCCATATTCGTTGTATTTTGATTTTAGACATTTAATTTAATATTATTTTCCAAGCGATATTATTGGTTTATTTTTAGGTTATCTTGAAAACGGGAAATCAAATATGATAATAAGAAGTCTAAAACAGTAACACTTGTAGCGTGTCCTTTGAGGAAAACTTTGCTATCCAGAGGTAATAAAGGTATTTGTTTGCTAATGTTGGCGATACTAATATCATTATAACTAATTTTACAGAACCGTGATTCATGATATACAATTGGAGGAGACATTTCACCAGTATGGTAGAATTCCGATCATTGTTTACGGGTGCTAGGCGAGAATGAAAATATTGGTACTAATGACGTCACTCTATAGGCTGCTCGCCATTTTGAATAGCTACGCACCGCAGTATTATTTGTTTTTGATATTAACTGGTAGAATTTTTTATTGAAATGATATTAACTATGTACGTAAATGTTCATCTCTGTGGATGTACCAACATAAACACTCACTCTTATGTCGCCTTATATGTAACTGAACTGAGAATCTCCTGCTTTAAATGAAATTAATGCAAATAATCGTTCTGATTGCAATTGGTTAATGCTAAACGTGATGTTTTCACACTTTTACAAATATCACTTTCTTTATTCACAGTTTAAAAGATACAGTTTATAAACTTGAACTAATTATATATCTCACTTGCAAAAAAGTATTAAATATTGAAAACTTACGGTGGCATTTGACACGTGCTGTCATAACTGTTTCTGTCAGACCCGCATACAGGACTCCAGATACAGCTCCTAACGGGAGGCGGGGGTGGCGCCGCGAAACGAGAGGGAGGAGGGGGAGGTCTTCTCCATGTCCTTGGTGGCGGAGGTGGCATCGCCCTGTTTCTTTGTGGTCGCATTGGCCTGCCTGGTGGTGGGGGCAGCATACGTCTACTCATAGGAGGTCTATTAGGCGGTCCCGGGGTTCGTGGAGGTCTCATATTTGTCGGCGGTGGAGGTCTCCTTCCCCTATGGGGTGGATGCGGACCGCTTCTACTAGGCGGTGCATACTGGCTTTGTACAATAAATAAGGATCCTGCAAGAGAAGAGGTGCGTAGAACGTATCTTATAAATTTATCTATATAAATGCAATGTTTATCAATGAGTAATGCATTCACTACGGGATTAACAATGGTTATTTACATTACGTCCTAACAAAATGGCTGTATAATGTATTTTTTATTTCAACGCATGATGTGAAACTATGTATGATAACACCGTTTTGCAAATGCACAGGTATTCGTATGTTATACTTATTGGTTATGCTAAGTGATTTGTCAAGAAGAATATATATATTAGTCTGCATTGAGATGTGCCCGGCAAAAAAGTAAAGTTGTGTTTTCATACTCCCTACTGTACAATGGGATATGCTTGCTTTCTTTGGAGTATCTTTTCAAAAACGTTCAGTTTGAAACAGCTTGAATTGTAAATAGTTTGCCAAAATATGCTAGTAAACAGTAGTCATACCGGTATTTTGAAACGTGACAAGAACTCTAAAAGGACATTCAGGTTGTCAATTATGAACAAAAGAACAAAGTGGGTGGCCAATGTATGTAGCTAGTAAGTTCCGGATTGTCATATATTATATGAAATCTTGTATTAAATATGATGGATTTTTGTCAGAATACTACCAAAACACGATCAAATAATTTGAAGGAGACATTTTGTCAGCGATCTTGTATAGAATAGGTGACATGTTTTTTAATAATGCATGCACATGGTACATTTTTTATTGCAGAGTCACCGCAGTCTCTTCAAAGTATGTGTGATGCTTTGTAATTATACAATATTGATTGGAAGGTAAAACGAAATCTGAATAAAACAGGAATAATGATTTTTCGAAATGATGATTGACAGCGAACTGAAGAAAAATGACTATATAACAATGTAGATATACGAGTGGTTGATGAATTTAACTACATTGGAAGGTTATTCACATAACGGTAAATTTAATAAAACACAAAACATGTTGCTAACCAAGGTAGAAAAGTATTTTTTCCAATGAATAGTAAATTAAAAAGTCATTGTTTTAATATTAAGACACAATGCTCCGTATTTCATACATATGTACACAGCGTTTAAGCATATCCAAGTGAAATATGGGGTCATCATAAAGCTCCATATGTGGGGAAAGTCCACATAAATTTTCGTAAGAAGCTACTCGGATTCAAGAAATATATACAGGAAATTATTTTTTCTGATGGTTTCCTTTATATATTAAAAGAAAAATGAAGTTTTGAAGTATTGGTTGAAATTGAAAAGTACAAAATTTGAAATATCATCGAAAACCTGGTGTATTCCAGATTGTTCAGCTATTAAGTGAAAACAATGTTAAGGAACTAGATAAAACGGGAAAATTTGTCCACTTGGCATTTAAGAAAAAGAAAATAACAAATTAAAGGTTTAATCGTGATACTGTTTTATTTAAGCATGTAAACACGCCGTTATGACTCGCTCTCCGTTTGTTTATATATATTGTACATATTTATGTTGTATTTGCAACTTATGTACCGTTAAGGCCTATGGAATAAAGAACATTGATCAATATCAAAGTATTGTCACTTTTCGGCACTTCGTTCGTTTTTTTCTTTCGTTCTGTTGATTTCCCAATCTTTTTTTATTATCATTAAATGTTGAGGCGAAGTTTTGTATAGGTATTATGGATTATGCCACAACTCTTGCTAAATATTTGAAGGATCGAAATAACTTAATCATCAAAGTGAAAAAGTGAAAAATACTCATGTATCTCCACCATTTTGCAGTGATCACTCCTCAGTACATGCTTCAATTTCTTATTCTGTATTTAAAAAAGTAAGCTATAAAAAAAAACTATTTTAAAATATGAAGAAGCAGACTTTGATAGAATGAACAATGTCTTATTTGATATTGATTGGTTGAATTTGTCTTCAAATCAGGATTCTAATACTTTTAATAGCACTATAGTCAATGCAATCACGGAGCAGGTCAATAGATTCATTCCTACAAAAGTAATAACCGTGCGCCCAAATGATAAACCATGGATGAATAATACAATTAGATTGAAAATGAGACAGCGAAATAGAATTCACCGAAAAGCTAAACTAACAATTAATCCCCATTATTGGGAACAATTTAGAATCCTACGAAATGAAACTATTGACCTTATCCGTGAGGCAAAAGCAAAACTTTATAAAAAATCTTGAAAAGTCACTAAATGATAATGTGGTTACTCCAGACAAATGGTGGAAGATAGCTAAATCTATTACCAATTTTTCTAACAAGTCATCTTCTATTCCACCACCTGAATCCGACGGCCAAATAATCCATCATCCAACTGACAAAGCAGAGCTTCTTAACAATCACTTCACTAATATTTCATCAACACCTGGCCTTGAATTACCCCAAACAGCACAACCCAATGCCCCCTATTCACTATCAAACATTCATATCACTGAACAAGATGTTTCCAATCAAATTAATATACTCAACACTAATAAACCCCCAGGCTCTGATGGTGTTATTCCTAAAATTGTAAAAAGCTTCATGCTTCTCTTAAATTACCTCTTATGTTATTATTCAATAAGACACTAGAGTCTGGTATAATACCTTTTAGTTGGAAACAAACAAATGTTAATGCTATTTATAAAGGAAATGGCTCATCTAATGATGTGTTAAATTACCGACCAATTTCAATTACATCATGCTTCAGTAAAATAATGGAAAAAA